AAGAATACACGATCAAGCACAAAATATAGAGAAATAATTTATCAAAGCACAATAATATTGCTATCTACTAAGATGTGTAAATCCTCTATAATAAGACAACATAAGCTTTATATAGCTATCTATTGTTTTGTCTAATCTAACATAACTATTAAATATGCTCATGCACTCGTTCCTTATAATTTTAGGAGGTAAATTTATTTGTTTTATTTTTTGTCTCAGCCTTACTCACTGACCATCTCCTCAAGGTGCGGGGACTACAATAATGAAGTGAAAAAAAAAAAATCTAAGCAGACAGAGATGATGAAATAACTTCAGCCACCCGACACTATACTTAATCAAAGCTATGAAAAAAATGAAGAAAAATTCTTTGTCAAAGGGTTGCTTGTAGAATTTTGACAACCTCTTAATTTCAATTAGAAACCTATTTTATTTTTTAGATGATAGGAAATAAAATAAATTGAAACAAAAAATTTAAATTTTTTTTTTTGGAAGTTTGTGGGTATCAAGCTAACCTTGATCAAAAATTAGAATTTGTTTCTCTTAGAATAAGAAAACAAAACTATAATTCGAAATAGTATACGTGCAACGCACGTGCACATCAACTAGTACCAAACAACATTGACCCAATTGTCAAGCCCAAGTAGCCTTTTCATCCTTTTTTGGGAAAAATAAAATAAAAAAGACTAGATGGAATTGCAAATATTATGATTATTATTAAAATTTCACCGCGATGAAAATAACAAAATTTCTATAATACATGGATTTAATAAAACACAATTTAAAAGACTTTGTTGGTTCATTGATCAGGATTTGACTGAAAAGTTGCTAATCATGTTGGTTATATTTGGTTCGGGTCTTATGGGATAGGAATAGACTACATTAGTCAAATAATAATTTAATACCAAGTATAAATCAAGTTATAAGCTCTATTTATAATGATCTTCTTAGTAACCCTTCAATGCTACAATGTCACTTACCACCACAGACTTTATATAAATGAATACCATATAACATCTAGTATTAAATACAGAGATTCGTGCATTAGTGTAAGATGTTTTTCTCTTTTTAAACTTAATACTGTGCATTCCCTCTTTCAAACATTAGGATTGATACCGGGACCATAAGAACGCACCATACCTAAAACCTTGCTCCAACCATGATGTAGTTAGAATAGGATAAAATTATAAGCTATTTTTCACCACCGGTAGGGATTGGATTGAAATCAATTATCCAATCCCATTCCATTTTTTCACTTAAGCCAGCACACATCAGTAGAGTTTGCCTCAGTACATCAATAACAGGACACTAGAGATTCTAAAATTACTCTACCATGGCATAAAAGAAAGAGACTCTTATTTATTAAAAAAAAAATTCTATGGTAAGATACTATATAAGCACATACAGAAAACCACACAGTTTTCTCCCCACAGCTTCCAACGTAAGCATGTCATTCACATGCTAGAGTCCATCTAAGGTTCCAAGTAGGGATTGCAGTGGATTGGGAAAAAACAGGTATTCGTCCAAACTCGCGTCCGTTTGGACCGGGGATGAATTATATGTATTGGACGGTAGACATATGTAGGGATACCCGTATAAACCCGTGCAGGGATGAAGGCGGAGATGAACTTACCCCTATTCCTGCCCCCTCCCTGCCCTCTCCCGCCCCCGTTACCCGTTATATATATATATATATATATATATATATATATATATATATATATATATATATATATATCATCAAGTATTGTTGTGGAAGTCTAATGCATAATTTTGTGTAATCTTGTAAACTTGTTACTGTGTTTCTGAGTATGTTTCTTGGTCTTGTTCTTTTCTTCTTGTTGTTTTGCCTTTGCGAGTATTTTTAACTGTGCAAGATTGTTGCATTATTTGTTTATCCTACTAATCTCAACTCCCATGCAATCTTTGTTGGAGAATTGTCATGACTGACCTTCTTCAGCATGCTATGGTTTTCTATTACCATCTGAGGTGGTTTACATTTTTTCACCTGTATTCAGAGCTTTATATTGAGTAGTTGATTAAGTAGGAACAACTAATTCTTATGACTTTGCCTATGTTGAAAAAATTGCTAGTGTTAAAATATTTGCTTGTTATCTGTAACAGGCATCCCTCTTCTAATTTTGAGTTGGTGTGAAACTGGTGTTAAGAGATAATTGAGTTGATTGAGATGATTCTACAACTCATTATGTTATTTGTGTTATGTTGTGTAATGTTGAATTATATCAAATTTAAGTAGTATTTTGGACATTTGTTGTCTGTGTTATATTCGAATATATGATGTTACATTATGTTGTGTTATATTATGTTAGATTATTAAGAATGTTGTTGAATTATTTAAAATGTTGGATTTATTTAGAATTTTAGATTATGTTGGCTTGAATTTGGACTTAGGCTTAAGCTTGGCCTTGGGCTTATGCTTGGCCTTGTGCTTGAGCTTGAGTTTAGGCGGGTACGAGGTAAACGGGAACGGGGATTATAAATTTACCCGCGGATGGGGATGGAGATGAAAATTATACCCGTTAACGGGGATGGACCGGGGATGTTTAGGCGGGTACGGGGATGAAGGCTATACCCCCCGCCCCCACTTCGGTCCATGGACATCCCTAGTTCCAAGTGCCTCATCGATAATTCTCAGTGCTTCTTCTCTCCTCCTAGACAAGCATAGGAAACAAAATCAACTACAATGCAAATCTTGTGTGTAATAGATATACAATCCATTTATTATATCAATGATATTCGATGAAACTTCAGCCTTTACAACACTCTGGTTCTTCTATAATTTTGAATGAAACGTGTTTGATCTAAGTTTTTAATAAGGTTAATTTCCCTTTGACTCCTTTAACTACCACTCTTTGCGTTTGGGGCAAGATGAAATAATTGAAGGCGTAAAACAGTATAATTCAAGGGGTCGATGCTTATGTTTCTTAACTACACTTAGGACCATTGTTTTCCATGTTAGGGTGTAAGACAGTATAATTGGCTTAGAGTAATGCATCAAATTTATTAATGAACCAAAAGGATAGTAAAACATTAGAGTTGAAACCAATTGAAGTCACAGGGTCCTTCTAGAATTTCAGAGCTAAAAGTTATTTTTTTTGTTTAATAAATAAAATTTATTTACAAAAAAGAAGATATTATAATAAACTCAAAACATGTTTTCTTATCTGGGTACGTAGCAGGCCCAAAAGAGCAGTCTTACACAGCAGACCCAAAAATGAAAGAATAGAAAGTTAAAAAGATAGATAAAACTTCATCTTTAGTAAAGAAGAAAAATATGAAGGATGGAAGTAGGTAAATTAACTTTTTTTTCCACTCACAAAAATTATTCCCTCCAAAATTGAGAGGAAAAATAGATAGAAAGTTAATTATGTGTATTGAAATGTATGTTATTTGTCTATATATCATATTTATTAATTACATATTATGTATACATTAATTTTATATATAGATATTAGTCATAACTCGTGCCTAACGACACGATAAAATATAAAATTTGAGCGTCCAAAAAATCGATCCCACTATATTAATTTTTTTAAAAATATATTAACTATAAATTAATTAAATATTAAATGATTAAATATATGATAGAAATCAGTGGTGTAAAATTTTTAGGAAAAAATATATAAATAATTAAATATGTGATATAAATGAATGATGTGATTTGATGTTTGAGTCTGACAAATGAATGATGAGTGAAGTAAGTGATTGATGATTGTTTTGAAGAGAAAAATATGATTGAGATAAAATTCAAACACATTCCTGTTTTATTATATAGGTTATGGTAAAATATATATTTATATTTCTTTAATAAAAAATTAAAAAAATATATATTTTTTATTTTATCAATAAAAAAAACAAAAAACGAATGAAAATGTATTTCATGCAGTATGGGTTAACTGTAATTTTCATGATGATTTCATGCAGCAAGCTGAAGTGCAACGGGACATCCCATCCGATAAAGACATCCCTCCATTCCTGATTAACTTTGTGAAATGCAACGAGACATCCCTTCGTTCCTAATTAAGACATTAAAAAATGAATGACATTGTATCAATTCAAAAGGAAAAGAAAAACAGTTACACATAACAACATAAAAAACATTAATACAAATGATTGAATTAATTAATCACATACCGGGAGAAAAAACATAAAATACAAAATAGTTACAATATATAGGATCTACTAAAAATAGACATTAGCTGAAAACTTACATACAAGAACAGTTACACTAAAATGCAACTCTGATTTTTTCAATACAATTACACAACAGTTACTGTGTATACGAAAAATAGTTACACCTATTAAAAATCAAAACAATCTTTTTTTTTCAACACAGTTACATAATAGTTACTGTCTATACGAAAAATAGTTACACCAATTAAAAAACAGTTACACCAATTAAAAATCAAAGTAGACTGTTTTTTTTAATAGTAACTATTGTATAACTGTATTAAAAAAAGACAAATCTCTAAGTACACTGCGTCTTCCAGCATACAATGTTGCTGATATGATCAGTCATTTCGTCAAGGAAACGGGTTTAGGAAGCAATAAGACAACAGGAGGCTTCGTCAAGCATTGTAGCCATGAGCATCCACTGCAACTTTTTGAGCAGAATACCAAAGTCCAGAGTGATCAAACATTGTTCTCTGATGAATGTGTCTATTTTAGCCGCATTTTATTATAGCTGCAACAAATGTAGTGTCTCTCTCCACAAATATTGCGCGGCGCCACTCCGAGAGGTGCAACACCAATGCCACCCTGATCACAAGCTTTTCCTGCGAACTGACTTTTCTAATATTTCCATTCCATTAAATTGTGACGGCTGTGATAGACCATGCAGCGGATTTACCCTCACCTGTGATCCATGCAACTTTAGTCTTCATTTCAGTTGTGGCTCTCTGCTTAATAGTACTGTAGCACATGAAGCCCATTCTCAGCACCCTCTCGTTCCAAGTAAGTCAAATCGTTGTAATGCTTGTGGTATGTGGGCCAATTTCACATTGGGATGTGACACTTGTGGTTTCTATCTAGATAGCCAGTGTGCCCTGTTGCCAGGTATGGTTAGGCACAGATGGAACAAGAAGCTCCTCATCTTGAGCTATCCCCCATACACTTATCATCTGGATAAGTTTTATTGCCAATATTGCGAGAAAGAAATAAATCTAGAGTTTTGGCACTATCGATTTCACGAATATGAAAAATGGGTGCATCCTAAATGCATTGGTAATAGTGGTTATTTAAATATCATGTTTGGGGATACAATTATAGATGAGAGTCACAGACATGCACTGAAATGGGTTGAATACTCTAAGGATGACTTCGCATGCAACTGCTGTAAGAAACCTTTCAATGACGACCTGTTTTTCGAATGTGCACCATGTAATTTTCAGCTCTGCTACAATTGTCATGTGTTATGTGGCAATACAGACCAAAATAAAAAATTTGGAGCTCATTTAAATCTAATGCACCTTCCAATTGAGAAATCTGTTGCTCTGATATATCGTTTTGTCAACGAAATGGGTTTAGGAGGTAGAAATAGTACAACAAGCCCCGAGCACTCTAGTCATGACCATCCATTGCAACTTTTTGAGGAGCAGAATAACGAATGCAATAATTATTTGACGTTGTTATGCGATGGATGTGTGCAACATGTTTCAGCTCCGTTTTACAGCTGCACTGAATGTAATTTCTTTCTCCACAAATATTGTGCGGCGTTACCCAAAGAGGTGCAACATCCATGCAACCCTGGTCACATGCTCGTCCTGCGAAAGATCCATTATACCTCAAAACACATCAGGTGTGGTTGCTGCAGTACAAGAACCAATGGATTCGTCCTTAGTTGTGACCCATGCAACCTTACTCTTCATGTGAGGTGTGCTTCTCTACTAAACAGTGTTAAAGCACATGACGCTCATCAGCACCCCCTCGTTCCAATGTCAAAGTTAAACCATGGGCCGTGTAATGCTTGTGGTGATGATTTCAATGGGTTGGGATTCAAATGTGACACTTGCCGTTTTCGTCTAGACGGTTATTGCGCCATGTTGCCACGCAAGGTTAGGCACAGGGGGGACAAACATGACCTCAACTTGAGCTTTCCCCCTTATACTTACCATCGGGAAGAGTTTTACTGTGACTTCTGCGAGAGAGAAATAAATCCGAATTTTTGGATTTATAATTGTCGTGATTGCGATCAATCTTTCCACCCTAGATGCACTGATCCGGTCCAGCAAATTAAGAATCTTAAAGATGAAAATACCCTTAGAGTTAACAATCACCCACACTTTCTCAAACGCGTTCAACAATCTCTCAAGTGCAGCATCTGCAAAAAACTTTCTTATGCTGATATCTCCTTCGACTGTATATCATGTCATTTTCAGCTCAGTTACGATTGTGTTACTGTAAGTGTGCCATAATTTGTTTACAAGGGTATTGTGACAACGTTTGAGACATATATATGTAATGAAGCCCATTGTACATCAATACAAGTTCCTGAATTTTGATGTATTTGATATGGAAAATAGGTGTTAGTAGATTTCTCCTTTGACTCATGAATATTATATATGCTCATCTTTGTCACCAGTGATTCCACCTTGTGTTAAACCAAAAACATTCCATTCCCACAAAACAAATAGATTCCTAGTGTAATCTTTTTTTTGGCTCTTATGGGTTAGTGCTTCAAGTCTAGATGACTACCCTGGCTCTTCCTTTTCATGGTACTGCTGGAAGAGTTTTGGCAAGGATATTTGATACTTCCTTCATATATAACCAGTTTTTAAACATCTTATATTGTAACATAATGGTTCTCCTATACAATTACTGATGCATCAGCCTCATTTCTAATGCTATGTCAATTTTAGAATTGCATTTTCTTTATCAGCCGGGATAGCTATAGATAGGGCTCATATTTTTTTCTTTTTTCTTTTAGTTAAACCCATTTAGGGCAAATTTTATTAATAACAAAATTATAAAGAGAGGAGAGGACATAAACATTTCCCCTTACATAATAAAAGAACTTTAAATATAAAATAAAGTCTTAACAATGACTACACACGTTGTATTTTACAGTCAACGAAGAGTCTAGAGGATATGAGCTAGCTAACAGTCCATCAGAAAGTTATATGAACAGTATCGTGAATAGTACTGGACAGCTGAACATTAATCTGCTGCTTTCTTCGAATAACTCAGCTGAAAGACAGAATAATAAGAATGCTAAAAGACAGAATATTGGAATCGTAGTGGCAGCAGGAGTCCTCATTAAGTCGAACCAATCCTTAAAAAATTAATAATATCTAAATCTATAAGATTTCTTTGGCTTTGACAACTTGAACGTTCTTGATCTTGTCATAATTATAAGTTTGACTTTATCAAGTGTCATAGCCAAAGCAGACAACTCTTCCTCTTTTCTCTTCTTCTGCATCTCAACCTTATTACATATTGACAATAACTTTTTAGAAGATGACATAAAAGAAATGAAATCAATTTCTTGAATTACTGGTGCCTCCTCCCCATCAGAGTAAAAGCCCTTTGATTGCTCATGAAGAGAAGACCTCTTAATGCAGTCATCCTTCGAATAAACTCCTCTTAGCTTCAAGGTCTTTTGAATCTCCTCCCCTGACATGCTTGGAATTATCTCTCCTTGACTATGAATATTTTTACGAACTGCTGCCATCATTTCCGGAGTAATGGACTTTGATTTCTCCCCGGCCTCCACTATTAAGGATTCAAAATCTTGCTTATGGTGACCATAATCCAACAAGGATGAGGACTCGTCTATCCCATCGTCCAAGACATCTTCAGAAGAAATAGAAAATACTGTCACACCCCCACCCCGGATCACATAGGGTGAGCAGTGGACCGGCTACCAAGGCCTTAACCAACCATCCCGGTGCATAATTAATGCAAAATACAGCGGAAGACAAATAATAAAGTGATCATTTTCACCGACCTAATGAATACCAGAGAAATAAATTAACTTCACCGACATTATTACTAAACTCATGTAAAACAATAATTAATCCATAAGATTCACTATTCTAAGCAAAAACAACATTGTTCTCAAAACAATCGAATACTTATCTCAAAACTATAAAAAATATTTATTTCTGAATACCTACAATAAAATAAATTTTCGATTCTTCTAATCCCTTATCTATCTGAGAACTTACTCCTCCTCATAATCCTCACCTGAAAAATGTTAAATATTTGGGTGAGCACAAAAGCCCGTGAGTAGCAACCACCTCTAATGAGGTTTGAAAATAAATCCCACATTTCATATACACAGAAATAAACTTTGTTATATACATAAATATAATAAATTGTACCTCAATCCCTTTCACATAACCATGTAAACAAAATGATCTCATGATCATAATAACTTTATAAAAGAAAAGACATTTATACCTCAAAACACTCACACACACATTCAGTCTCAAATACACTTGTCAAATCATGTTTGTTATCATTAGCCTGATAACTGGCCCCGTCTTTTGTTATCACTAGTCTGATGACTGGCCCCGTCTTTTGTTATCACTAGCCTGATAACTGGCCCCTATGTGCACATCCCTATATCGACCACGCCAGTATACAATCTCGTTACCATTTAGACTTGGTAACCCAGTCCCCTTCTCATAAAACATAATTTCAAGACACACACTAAAACTGTTGTTTTAGTCCCATCGCACACAAAATATCTCTTTCCTCACCAAAATCATTTAAGCAATAATATAAAATCATCTCATAAGTTTTGCAAATTCACATGTGTAACAATTCACAATTGTAAAAATATTTAATTGCAAGCCCAAACATCAACATATATTATATATATGAAAAATTCACACACACGCACCCACAAGTTTAATATAGAAAATTCTCCCAAAAGAAGTAATAAACTACTCACCTTGATTTCCAAAATCTAATTCAAAGCACTCTTTTCCAACCTCAATGCAATCACCACCTAATCCAAAATAACATATAACAATCAATCCATTTTTCTTTACTTCATCGCTTCGCGATTCTATATTTAATTTTTATACTTCTTACTCATTAATATATACTCAATATATATTTTACATATAAATATCCTTTCTAATATGAGGTAACAGTGTATGAAAGTATTCTGGACTGTTTGGAAAAAAGTTTCTAAAGTTCTGGGGTTAAATCATAATTTTTAAAACTTTTGAGGTCAAAGTATAATTTCCTTAAAAACGAATTTTCGGTTTTTGGGCATGCCATAAATTTTTCAGAATAGTATTTAAGCTTCTAGAGACCCATTTTTCAATAATACCACCTCAATTTGATTTATTAGAGTAACTATTGATATTTAAACATTTAATCAAAACTTTTAGAGGTCGTTTCAAAATTTCAGAAATTTTTCAAGACTCGGGGGCTGTTTTGACATAACCATATTTGTTTCAAATATACTGGGTCAGTTTTATAAATTATCAAGTTTCATAGTAGTCAAAAATTGAGTTTATCAAAGTATAGGGATCAAGATAAAACTACTTAAAACTAAGGGGGGAGTTTCCATAATTTCTAAAACTTAATCTTCTTCAACCTTGATCCAGCCGTCTGTTTCTTCCTTCTTTGTTTTCTTTTGCTTTGTTTGACATTAAATCAATTCTTTAAAGGCCTCAAAAACCATAAATTTATACTATGTAAAATCAATTTTTTATAACTTTCAATAAAATCCATATATATATACCTCACTATCATTCACCATGAACACACACACACACACACATATATATAACAATATTCCTTATCACTATTTATGAAAATCTTAATACTATATAATTTAATAACTTACAACTCTACCAATAATTAATGAATTCATACCTTTGATGAGTCCACTTTTTTTTTTTTTTCTTTTTTTTTGTTCTTCCTTCTACTTTCTCTTTGGCTCTCTTTTTTTTTCTCTCAGCCGTCTGTTCCTTCCAACCCAAACACTGATAATATATGAGGCAACTAGGGCAGTCAATCTATTTATATGGCACGATCATTATCTTCCTTTAATATCACTTAAGTCCCTCTAATTTCTTAGAATTTTAGTTTAATCATAATATATTATCGTACAACCAATTTTAAATTTCCTAAATAACTTCCTCTATTTTTATTTATTTATTAAAAAAAAATATCCAACACATACCTGTATCCTCCTCATCATTTAAATTAACCAACTTATATGCAGCAGATTCATAACCAGATGCTGAGTGCTGGTTGGTGTTCATAAGGTTTTGTTCATGATCATCTTTTTCCAGTATCAAATCTGACTTAGACAATGGTGGATTCTCTGAATCTTTGGCCTGCATAATTACCTTAGATAGAATATCTTTTCCCGAATGATCCCCTTTTTCGAGGATTCTAATTGACGCTTCTTGCTCCACTTCCCGTATCTCATGGGCTATATTTGCTAATCTCCCCGAATTTGCTGCTATTTCCTTTTTTGCATTATTGAATTGCCCAGGCTTTAGATGTTGTTTCCAAATTCCCCTTGATTGATGAGCTGCATATGCTAGCTTTGGTTGAGTTTTGAATGAAATGTGACCTGAAATTACCTTTTGAGTATTTTCCAAACTTTGAGTATGCTGAATATCCTTCCCCTTATTTTGCTCGTTACTTGCCTTACCCTTACCATCTCTTTCCAACCCTAGATTCTTACCTTACACAACTTCTATGTGTGGTGCAACTTTCCTTTTTCTGCATTCTTCATCGACATGGCCCTGCTTGTTGCAAGTTTTGCAGAATTTCTTGTATCTCTCATAGATTATTCTTTGCCAACAAGCCCCTTCTTTTCCCATGTCAATCCAAATCCGATTTGGGTTATTATGCAGCAGATTGACCTCTACACATACCTTAGTTATTCCTGGCCTTGACAGTGAAAGTGTGGCCTGGTCATAAGCCAAGACTCTTCCAATGGGCTTCACCAAAAACTCTAAGTAAGGTTTCTTAAAGAAATTCAAAGGTAACCTAGGCAATGATATCCATAGAGGAACAATTGAAGGCTCTATACCCGGAACAAAGCCTGAAAACCATTTAAAGAATCTAAAGAGGTAGTCTTCTATCAGAATTGCATCTTAGGGCTATGTCTTCACATAATCTTCTTGCAACTCAAACCTTAGTAGCATATGTCGCTGGTCAATTGAACCTACTTCAAAAGCACCTTTAAAACTCCATTTCAATCGTATCACTTCTTTGATGACACCAAGAGAGGGTCTACCATAAGAACACTTGCCAATTAATGCATATTGCAATGATTGACTTGATTGTTGTATTTATTTCTTGGTGAAGTAGAAAGTTGGCTCTCCTTCATAGAAAACTATAGGTTTATCAATTTTCCCTGGCAGTGATTCATCAGCAGGATGTTGTGTGGGATTCCTGAAAAGAGAAACAAAAGTTTGTGGTGTATTATGGGAAG